GCACATACACACAAACATATGAAGTACAGGTAAAATGGTAAATATTATATATATGGGGCTGGAGAGATGGCTCAGTGGTTAAGAACACTGGCTGTTCTTGCAGAAGACACAGGTTCGAATCCCAGCACCCACACGGCAGCTAACAACTGTCTGTAACTCCAGTTCCAGGGGATCCAATAGCCTCTTCTGTCCTCCAAGGACATTGCATGGCATGGGTGCACTTACCTACATGCAGACATAACACTCATATACATAAAATAAAAATATATTAAAAAATTATATGGGGCTGGAGAGATGGCTCAGCAGCTAAGAGCACTGACTACTCTTGCAGAGGACCAGGGTTCGATTCCCAACACCCACATGGTGGCCACAAACCATCCTTAAACTTCAGTTCCAGGGGAATCCAAAGCCCTCTTCTGACCTCTGCGGCATTGCACAATACAGGTACACTCATATACATGCAGGCAACACCCTCATACACATTAAAAAAATTATATATATTTATCTTCAAATATCAATTAAAATAGACAAAATTTAAAAAGGTATGGTGGTTCCTGTCTGTAATCCCAGCACTTGGAAGGCTGAGACATGATGATCAGGAGTTCAAGGCCAATCTTTTGTACTGGGGATTGAACTTGGGACTTCATTCATGCTAGGCAAAGGCTCTATCATCAATATATATTGATAAATTATCAATATCATTTCATAGAAATTTACATAGAAATTTAAGAGGCCAGCCTGGGTTACATGAGTCTGTGTTAAAAGAGACAAGTAGCCGGGTATGGTGGCGCATGCCTTTGATCCCAGCACTTGGGAGGCAGAGGCAGGCGGATCTTTGTGAGTTTGAGGCCAGCCTGGCCTACATAGTGAGTTCCAGGACAGCTGGGGCTACAGGGAGACCCTGTTTCAAAAAGACAAAAAAAAAAAAAAGGAGAGAATAAAAACAAAACAAAACAAAAAACAACAAAACCCAGATAAAATTAAACTTACAAAGCAGTTAAAATATTTGTGACACTTAAATATAAGATGAAATATAAGATTTGTTGGTCTGCTTGGAGCTCGCAATTTAAAAGGAAAAAAATGAGTCAGATACCAACACAAAAACTGCATACATCAATGTTCATATGATCACTATTCACAATAGTAAAAGGTGGAAACAAAGTAACTGTCCATTGACAGATGACTGGATAAGGAAAATGTGGTCCATTTATACAATAGAATGATAGCCATAAAAGAATGAAGTATTGATACAAGTTGCAAAGTGGATGTACCTTGAAAACATTATGCTGTTTTTCAAAGATGCCAGACAAAGAACTCATATATGATTCATTTTGTTTTCAGTGCTGGGGATGGAACCCAGGGCTTCATACACACTAAGGAGGTGTTCTAATATTGAGGTATACCCTCAGCCTGCACACAATGTAACTTACAGGAAATTTCCAGAATAGTAAATCTAGAAAGAGAAGTGGATGGATTGAGCCTGTGTGGTGGCAGACACCTTTAGTCCTAGCACTTGGGAGGCAGAGGCAGGAGGATCTCTGTGAGTTCAAGACCAGCCTGGTCTACATAGTGTTTCAGGTCAGTTGGGACTACAGGGTGACCCAGTCTCAAAAAGGCCAAAAAAAAAAGAAGTGGATGGATTAGGTTGGTTTAGGGTTTAGAAGTGGAGGGGTAGAGGGTGACTACTGAGGGAGTATGGGTCTCTTTAGTGTTGAGAAGGCTCTAAAATTGACAGCACAACTCTGTGAATATACTAAAGAAACTTTTCAGTGGTCTCATTAATCTCAGGCTGGCCTCAAATTCTTCAACTAGTTGAGGATGACCTGAACTCCTGATCTTTACAACTCCTCTTTCTGAGTGCTGGGATTACGATCATCACCTTGCCTGGTTCTATTTTTCTTCTTCAATATTTATTATTTTTATTTTGTGTATGAGTGTATTGCCTGCATGCATGTGAGTGCACCCGTGTCGTGCAATGCCATAGAGATCAGAAGAGGGCCTCAGATTCCCCTGGAACTGGAGTTAAGGATGGTTTGCAGTCGCCATGTGGGTGCTGGGAATCGAACCTTGGTCCTCTGCAAGAACAGTCAGTGCTCTTAACTGCTGAGCCATCTCTCCTGCCCCAAAGATTTATATACTCTATAAAATGTTTTGAATTAAACTCTTTTCAATTAGTGATTTTCTGAAAAAGTTTTTGTGTCTTTTTTCTCAAAGTACATTTTTATTGATTTTTTTTCATTGCATACAATACATTTTAATCATATTTAGATCCCCTCCCTGAGTGCTGGAATTAAAGGTGTGTGCCACCATGCCCGGCCCCGGTCTATTTTTTTTCCATTATTTTTATTTTATATGTATGGGTGTATTTTCTGCATGCATGTAAGCGCACCTCTGTCATCCAATGCCTACAGAGAGCAGAGGAGGGCATCGGATCCCTCGGAACTGGAGTTAGGGACAGTTAGCTAACATGTGGATGCTAGGAACCAAATGTGGGTCCTCTGCAAGAGCAGCCAGTGCTTTTAACCTCTGAGCCATCTCTCCAGCCCCATCCTGGTTCTATTTTTTGAAACAGTCTCACTCTACACCCCAACCAGGCCTCAAACTCTCAGTAATCCTCCTGCCTGTCTCCCGAGCATTGGAACTACAAGTATGAGCACCACTCTCAGCTTGTGTACTTTATTTATTTATTTTTATGAGTGTTATGCTTGCATGCGTGCCCACAAAGGACAGAAGGACATCAGATCCTGTAACTGGAGTTACATACAGTTAACTGCCATAATGGTGGGTGCTGGGATCTGAACCTGGATCTTCTGCAAGAACAGCCAGTGCTCTTAACTGCTGGGCCATGTCTCCAGCCCTGTACTTCATTCGTAAAAAGGATTTTTTTTTTCAATTTTTTTTTTGTCTTTTTGAGACAGGGTCTCCCTGTAGTCCCAGCTGTCCCAGAACTATGTAGACCAGGCTGGCCTTGAACTCATAGAGATCCGTCTGCCTCTGCCTCCCAAGTGCTGGGATTAAAGGCATGTGCCACCACGCCCAGCCTTTTTTATTTTGTTTATTATTTTTATGTGTATGAGTGTATTGCCTGCATGTATGTGAATGCACCCGTGTCATGCAATGCCGCAGAGGTCAGAAGAGAGCTTCAGATTCCTCTAGAACCAGAGTTAGGGACAGTTCGTAGCCGCCATGTGGGTGCTGGAATCGAACCCTGGTCCTCTGCAAGAGCAGTCAGTGCTCTTAACCACTGAACCATCTCTCCAGCCCATAAAAAGGATTTTTACTTTTTTGGTCTTTTTGAGGCAGGGTTTCCCTGTAGCCCCAACTATCCTGGAATTTGCTATGTGGACCAGGCTAGCCTTGATTGCATAGAGATCTATCTGTCTCTGCCTCCCAAGTGCTGGGAATAAAGGCATGTGCCACCACAACTGGCTAAGATTTTTATTTTTGTATGTCTAATGCTACATGTATGCTGGTGCCCGTGGAGGCTAGAAGAGGATGCTAGATCTCCTGAAGCTCTAAGTATAGGTGTTGTGAGCCACCCTACTTGGGTGTAGGGAACTTAACTCAGGTCCTCTGGAAGAGCAGCAAGTGTTCTTAACAACTTAGCCACCTCTATAGCCCTTATTATATACTTTAAATGGGTGGAGGGACTGGAGAGATGGCTCAGCAGTTAAGAACACTACCTGTTCTTGCAGAAGACCCAGGTTCGAATCCCAGCACCCACATGGCAGCTAACAACTGTCTGTAACTCCAGTTCCAGGGGATCTGACAGCCTCTTCTGTCCTCTGCGGGCGTTGAACAACAGAGGTGCACTTACCTACATGCAGGCAATACACACATACATATAAAATAAAAATAAAATAGGGTACTGGAGAGATGGCTCAGTGGTTAAGAGCATTGGTTGTTCTTGTAGAAGACCCGGGTTTGAATCCCATATAGCAGCTAACAAATGTCCGTAACTGCAGTCCCAGGGGATCCCACAGCCTCTTCTGACCTCCGCGGGCATTGCAATGACATGGGTGCACTTACCTACATGCAGGCAATACACACATACACATAAAAAATGAAAATAATAAAATTTTAAAAAAAAAATAATTTTAAATGGGTGGAGTATAGTACAAGAATTACCAAGAAAGCTGTCCCAGAAAACCCAAGGGATTCATAAATAGAGCTTAAAACTTTTTTTTTTTTGTTTTTTTGTTTTTTTGAGACAGGGTCTCCCTGTAGCCCCAGCTGGCCTAGAACTCATTTTGTAGACCAGAGTGGCCTCGAACTCACAGAGATCTGTTTGCCTCTGCCTCCCAAGTGCTAGGATTACAGGTGTGCACCATCACACTGGGCTTGAGCTTAAAACTTTTAAGTACAGGGTTTTGAAATTTAAATATATTACTGTTTTAAGCCAAAGCTAGCTTCACGCTCATATTGTGTACATGAGAGCCTCCCTGAAGGCTGGAGACTGGAAATGTTTGTCAGGGTCAGGAGGTTGGTGATATGAGGGCTGTCCAGAGGGAGGAAGTATGGACTAAGAATGGAGCTGGGACAGGGCAAGAGACAGGAAGAGACTGATCTGTCAGCCTGACCAGAGAGCTGGACAATGCCAGCTCTGCTCTACTTTGTCCTATTCCAGGGATGGGGCTAGAGGTGACCATGTAACCCTTGCTTCTTCTACCTAAGGCCCAGACCTTCTGCTAACCTACCTGCCTAGTACTCTTCTCTTCCTTCATGCTGTCTCTCCTTTATCTCTTTTACACTCTGACCTTACTGAAGACCAGGAAGTGGGGAGAGGGCTGGGTTCTAGAAAGTTCTCTGGTCCTTGAGTGGTTCTGGTTCCACCTTCCTCCATTGGCCCCATAGCCCTAACTATAACTAAGTTTGCTAGACTATCCCACCCTGAGGATTCTTCTGACCAGAACACTGAGAGACAAGGAGGGTAGGTGGCCATTAAGCCAGGCCAGTGATGACAGTCTAGGCTGTGTCAGAGGAAAAAAGTGACAGCAAAGGGCCATGCACAAAAGGTGCCTTTATTGGTGCACTTCTCAGGGGAAGGCAGGCACCATCACAAGTGCCCAACTTCCCTGGCTCCTTTCCTCAGCAAGTCTAGTACATCCCCTCCACACTTGGTCTGGGTAGGAACTCCAGACATTTAAAGGTGTGGGTAAGGGCAGGGCTTGCCTTACTCTGATTATAATGTTCCAGGAAGTTTCTGAGCCAGGCCACATGCCCACCTCTGGGTTGGCTGCCAAGGCAGTAATGGGGGTAGGGGTGACTGGAGAGGGATGTGGTTGGTGTGCAGGGACTAGTGGGCTCTCAAGGTAGCACCTAGCAATCCTCAGTGGCAGCACTCCAACCTGCATCTGCCCTGGCAGGAATGGCTAAGTTACAGTGGCTGGGCTATGTTCTATTATAGGTTGGAGTTCTGGGGCTCTGACCCTCTGAGGACATGTGGCTGATATCACACGCAGCTATTTTTTCCACCGGGGGCTCTGGGAGTCACTGCTGTTGCTTTTGGGGGCTGGGGCATCCTGTTTAGAGGCAACTCCAGAATCCTTCTTTGGTGTTGGATGATGTTTCTCCTTTCTGGCCAGGGGCAAGGGCTGGAATGACCAGGGAGCTAGCAAGGTCTGTACAACTCTGACAGCCACCACGGCTCCCAGGAGCCCCCACAGTAAGATGGGAGGCTCCAGGGGAGACAGCTGCATCCGCACCCAGTTGAGGGTCTGAGCCAGGGCACTGCTGGGGCTGCGGGCCCGGGCTGGGCTCTTGTCCTGTGGGGGAAAACCGAGGAAAGCTCATAGGCTTATCCCTACAGCCAGGAGTCACCCTTCTACTTCCCTGAGCCCAGATGACTCCATCCTACCTGAAGTCCAAACTGTCTAAGCAGTGTTTGCAGTGTTGGGTCTCCTAGGGACACAGGTGGAAAGAATTCCTCCACAAACTGGCGGCGCCACCACTGGCTGTAACAGAAATGGATAATAAGCACATGGCTGTCACCAAGGCCCCAGCACCTAATCTATCACCCCAGCCTTACCTTCGCTCCCCAGGCTGTGAGAACCAGTACTTATAGCGCTGGGCCCGGATATAGGTCGGTGGCTGCTTGTGAAAGGGGTACCTGGAAATATGGTTCTGGACCAGACGGATCACTGTGGTAGGGGAGGGGAGGTCAGCATGGTCCTGGCTGTCACATACTTCCCTTCCCAGCCCCTTCCCCAAACTGCCCATCACCTGGCTCCTTGCCCTGCAGCAGACGTAGCACCAGGTTGGTGAACCAGGGGCTGTGTGTATGTGGGCCAAGGGCTGCAAACCACATCTGCCAATCAAGGCGCGGCTGGTGTGGCACCAGAACAGGGGGTGGTCGGCTCACATTCCCAGGCTTGTACATAAACTCAATCTCCTGACAGATGGACATATGACATGGTCAGTTCGGATAGCTGGATTTGGTCCCTTCACCCCCACACTCTTTGGGAGGGCTCACTGTCCAGTGGTGTCCATCGTAGCTGCCCTCTAGTACCACCTCAGGTCGCCCACCTAGACCAGTCATCCTACGGAAGAGGCCATATGAATTGGCCAGCTGAAGATGCTCCACAGTACCAAACAGGCGATGAGCCCCAATCCAGAGGCGCCCGTGCGTCCCAGGCTCTACATAGGAGTACGGCACCTACAAGCAGGTAGGCAAAGGCTCAGTACTGCCCCATTTCTCCCAATTTTATCCCCCATAGGGCTACCCACCAGACTGATCAAGAACAAGGCCACTGTGGCAGTGCCCAGGATGGAGAGCTGGACTCCAGCAAAGAACTTCTGCAGCCACCCTTGCACATGGATCCACCTGGGGACAGGAGACCCAAACATAGTCAGGCCTGATCTGAAAGATATCTCTCTCCCTACCCTCAGGTACATACCTCCAGAGGGCAATCAGCAACTCCCAGGCCAGGGAGGCTGCCCCTAGCCATACAGTGGGCAAGGTAACCATCTTCAGCCACTGGGAGAACTGGTAGAAGGTGAAGGCTGCCAAAGGAGGAGGTTGTGATTGGTGCTTGGCCTAGCCCTTGCCCTTAGATTCCCCTACCCCCAAGGTGGCACTCACTTGTTTTAGAGTGAATGGCATGTTGCTTCCAGTCAACCTCCAGGCCAAAGTAGTACATGGTGCCATAGGCCAGCAGCCCATAGACAGCCAGTTCAAACAGTAGGGACAGTTTGGCCAGCAGGGCCTTGGACCAGGCTATGGGGCAGGAGGTCAGAGGTCAGTTAAGGGTCTAGAGCTAGGGGGCTGAGGTGGAGCTGGAGTGGGGTTCTTTGGGAGTGAAGGGGAGGTAGTAACATCAGTTGGCTATCATGACAAGTTGATACTCACAGGTAGGCATCTTTTTGTGGTGCCTGAGACCAGGCTCAGCAGACAAGTGATGGTCATCCAAGAGGGTAGTGGTAAGCACCAAGGTTAGCAGATTGAAGAAGTTATAGTTGCCAGTGATGATAATTAGGACTTGCAACAGTGCCTGTTTGGAAGGTCTGCAATCAGAGCTATGGAGAGTTGTCTTTCCTAGGTCATGATGGCCTACAGACTGACATTTTCCACAAGGGCTGCAGCTCTACTTGCCAGTACATACCTGATCTAAGTAACACAGCCCTCTGCCTGCAATGCTTTCCTGGCAGAAGCCACCACCTGATCAATATCTACCTCCAAGACTTGCTCTAGCCAACTGTAAAGGCCACATTACATTCTGTCTTCTACTCACCTGAGCATAGAAGGCAGTCAATCGAAGGCGGCGAATGGGAGCAAAGAAGAGAAGGGGCACTGCAATCTCGATGAGGAAGGTGGCCACCACACTGAGCTTGTGTAGCCAAACCGGCAGGTGATGCGCAAGCCAGGCAGCTGGCGTGGGAAGGCACTGTGTCTCATAGTGGTAGGTGAGAGCTGCAGGTAATAGGTGGAGATCAGGGCTGGGTAAAGCCTCCAGACCATTCCAGGTTCAAACCCAGACCCTCACCAGTGAGCCCCCACCACGCAGGGCAGCGGCTGGTCAGCTTGACCACTCCAGAGGCAAACATGAGGCGAAACAGCAGCCAGCGAACGAGCCAGAAGGGGAGATCTTCGTGGGGCAAGGCTTCTGTTAGTCCACCTTGGGGAGCCTGCTTTTGGTTTGGAGGCGGTCTCAGTGGGGCTACCAGCACAGCCAGGAAGCCTGTCTCCAGGAGCAGGGAATCCCTAAAGGGAGAGGAAACTGCATAAAAGGACCCTCCCATCAAGGCTGCTTCCTTCACCAGGTCCTCCCAGGAGAGGCAAATACCCCTGCCCAGCCTCAGGCAACCTTGGCCCAGGAGTCACTCACCACTGGAAATAAAGGAACACCTGGCCCACCTGCAGGGAGAGGAGCTGTCAGGGAGCCAGTGTGCATCTGCTGCATTAGGTGAGGCAGAGTGGGTTGGGTCAAATGGGGGCTGAAGTTACAAAGATCTCACTTGCCTGGCAGACTGATAGGTAGGCAGCCCAGAGCAGTAGGTAGATGAGGGGGTGTCGCAGAGAATGCAAGAGCAGGGCACCCAGGGCCAGCACTGTGCCCAGCAGGGTCAGTAGTTCCAGACCCTGGGCAGTGTCCAGACCCAGTCTTGGTGCCTCCCATAGCAGTGTTGGTGTCTCCCATAGCTGCTGCCAGCGCCCCTTGCCCTGGGGCCGCAGTGTCCTCCGAGCAGGTAGGATGCCCTCGGAGCCATAGAGGCCTGTGGGAGTGAGTGTTAGGGCCAGGCCTTGGACACTGCTCTACCAGACTAAATTTATCCTGAGGTCGGCCCTGCAGATGCTCCACCACCAGCTCAGGGCCTGCAGAAGCCCCCTATTGCCAGCAGGGCCTCCAGCTTTCCCCACTCCAGGTAAGGCTTGCTCTACCAGACGCTCCCTCTCAGGTTAGGAATTGTTGACCCCAACCCCTGGATCAGAAGACCTATTTGGGTGAGCACCTCCCACCAGTAAAGAGCCCATCGCTTTTCAACCTGCCCCACCAGGTCTGAGATGTCTGTCTCCCACCCCCTCGGGGTTCTGCCCTAACCCTGGATGAGAATCAGAATCTTCTGAAAAACTGACCATTGCTTATCTTTACCGCCACGCTCTTGGGACCCCACTACACGAACCACCGTTCCCTACTCTCGCGTAGAGGCCTGGACCTCACACTGGCCTCAGACAGCGCGAACTAAAGGAAAGGATGAGACCACCTAGGCCCCGAGTGAGAGTTGGAGAGTGTCCCCTCTCTGCGCTCTCACCCGGGATCTGCGTGTAGAGCGAAGCAAAGGCGAACATGAAGACAGCGGCCACACCCTGGAGGAAAAGCTGCCGTGGGACCCTGGAGCCCGCCATGTCCGCTATGCGGCCAGCTGGAGCAGAGCCCGCCAGTCTCCCGTCCCCGCCTCCCGCCCCGGCCCGGCCCGGCCCTGGCCTAGTGCAGCAGCGGGGCGGGTCTCGACGCTTCACCTAAGGCGGAGGAACTCCGCTATACCCTGCCCACAACTTCAGCCTCAACCTGTGCACGAGGGTTGGGCCCTTGACTCGTAGTCCCGCCCCTCAACGTAGGCCCCGCGCCGCAGGGAGTTTCTTTTCCGATGCGCTTCTCCGCCACAGGAGGCTCTGCTCCTCAAAGCGGGCCCGCGTACGTCGTAGGTGTGCGCGCGGCGCCCTGCGTACGTACTTCCTGGGCGGGAACACCAAAATGGCGCCAGAACCAGTGGCGGGCTGAGTCTTCTGGCAGTATCCGACGCCAGTCCTACGGTGCGGGGCCGCCAGCCCCTCCCGGAAATGGAGGATGTGGAGGCGCGCTTCGCACACCTCTTGCAGCCCATCCGCGATCTCACCAAGAACTGGGAGGTGGACGTGGCGGCTCAGTTGGGCGAGTATTTGGAGGAGGTGAGGGCGGCAGGGACTGGAGCCTGCCTTAGGCTGCAGGCGGCCCCCCTGCTTTCGGGTCTGTGGCTGTCTATTGTTTTGTCCTCAGGCTCGCTTCTTTCCTCCCCCAGCCTGCCTCTCGAAGCGTTCCCCGTTACATTAGCCTGGAGCTCTCATTGCAGGTCTCTTCCCATTAGCGAGCCGTGAAATCGATTTGGTGGGTACTGATAACCATATTCTTTAATGTGACACCAGGAAACTTCATTTTCGTTATTTTTTGGCGGTGCTCGGAATTGAACCTAGGACCTCGTACATGCTAGGCAAGCGCTCTATCACTGAGTTGCATCCCCAGTCCTTCGTTCTTTTTGAGGCAGGCCAAGGCAGGTCTTGAACTTGGTAATCTTTCTGACTCAGCCTCGGGAACAACCTGGAGTACAGGCCTGCCCACTATGCCTGGATTTATTTTACTTGTTGTGTGCATGTTTGTGTATTGGAGAGATCTGGATCTGCGTTCTACCCGATGCAGTATAACGCACCCCTACCGGGGGCAATAACTAGAGCCTTACGGTCCCAAATGATCCGCCCCCTCCATATGTGGCCCCGCCCTTCGAAGTACTCTAGCCTGTATTTCACTCTTCCCTATTTAACAGCAGTTGTTTAGGCCTCTGTTTATGCTCTTTCTGCTTCATTTGTGCACTTTGATTCCTCAACCCAGCACAGTCGGATTCCACTACTGCTTACATATTTCTTGTGTTGAACAGTAGTGATCTTCATCTTACTAAATCCAAGACATACTAGAAATGTCATGTAATTCAGTTGGGAAGCCTTTGTTGGTCTGACCACTTTGGGGTTTCATTGCCTACTTTTTCTGTTCTAAGTGTTGAGCTTCTCAGGGTGGAACCTTCATTTTTAAGAAAATCTCCAGTGAAGGAGGGAGGGCAGGAATGATAGAGAGCGAGAAATAGAGACAGACAGACAGACACTGGGCATGGTGGTGCATGCCTTTAATCCCAGCACTGGGAAGGCAGAGGCAGGCGGATCTCTGTCAGTTTCAGGCCAGCCAGGGATATATGAGACCCTGTCTCAAAAAACCCCATAAAACATAAAATGCCACCCTTCCTCTCTCCCCCTTTCCTCTCCCCCCTCCCCCTCCCTTTCCTCTCCCCCTCCCCTCTCTCTCCCTCCCTCCTCTCTCTCTCTCCCTCCCCTCCTTTTGCATTTAAGCTGCTCCCTTAACATGCCCTGGGAAGTCATAGAAGGTTTTATTGAAAATGGAGCTCTTGAATTTTTGTTCAAACTCTAGGCTTTTCCATCTCAGGAAAGGGCATCACTGTCCAATTAAAGGTGAGAATTATGAGGTGTAGTAAAGTCCCATATCCCACACCAAGTTTACCTATGAATTTTGACAGTATACTGTCAAGATATTACTTGAGTTCATCTGCTTTCCATTATGTCTGGTCCAGACCTATTAAATCTAGGTGTTTAAAACCTCATCCAGGTCTCTACCATGATCCTGAACTTCATCCAATCCATATTTCAGCCAGTAGGAGTGTAACTCTTAAAGATTAAAACTAGTGCTGGAGAGATGGCTTAATGGTTAAGAGCACTTGCTGTTTTTGCAGATGACCCAGGTTCTGTTCCCATCACTCACACAGGGTGGCTTACAACTCCTGTAACTCTATTTCCAGGGAATCCAACATCCTCTGTTTGTTCCATAGGCACCTGCATACACATGGTACACATACATGTAGGCACAAACACAAATTAAATCTTAAAAATTAAGGGTTTGAGGCTGGAAAGATGGCTCAGCGGTTAAGAGCACTGACTGCTCTTGCAGAGGACCTGGGTTCGAGTGCCTGGAAATGCCTTAATGAAGCCCAGTTTTGTATGCTAACTTAAAAAATTAATTTAAAGAATAAGGGTTTTTTCAGATGGTGAGCAACAAAATGTATCACTGGCAGACTATTACTGAAGGAACAGTAGCGAACAAAGGAGTGGGAGGGAAGAAACAACTAAGAGTGGGGAATGACAAGACATTATCATTAGACTTCCTGGACGCCTCCAACAAGGGCTGGAGGTGGGTGGGATGAGAAAAGGCTGGTTCCCTTCCAACATCCAGCACGTATTTTTTGTTGAATAGAAGTTTTTCTGTTGGGGCTGGAGAGATGGCTCAGTGGTTAAGAGCACTGGTTGCTCTTGGAGAGGACCTGGGTTCAATTTCTAGTACCCACATAGTGGTTAAACAACTGTCCATAAATCCAGTTCCAGGGGATCTGACACCCTTGTCTGACCTTGGGCATTGTATGACACAGGTGCACTTACATGCAGGCAATGCACTCATACACATAAAATAAAAATAATAAAATATTTAAAAAAAGTTAAAACAGGCCACAATACTGCCTAGCCTAAAAGCCCTGGGCCTTCCGTTGCATTTATTTCTCAGTAGTTTTGACCTTATCTCTGTATGTTCTGTACCTTGTGGTTTGGTTTTTTTTTCCTTTTTTTTAAAGTTTAATTTTTCTTAAATGGTTTTTATTTTTTGGTCTTTTTCAGACAGGGTCTCTCTGTAGCTCCAGCTGTCCTGGAACTCACTATGTTTACAGGCTGGCCTTGAACTCACAGAGATCTGCCTGCCTCTGCTTCCTGAGTGCTGGGATTAAAGGCATGTGCCATTGCGTCCGGCCTTAAATGCTTTTTAGATTTATTTATTTTGACTTAATGTGTATAAGTGTTTTGCCTACAAGTATGTATGTGTACCTGGTGTGTGTGCAGTATCCGTGGAAGCCAGAAGAGGGTAATGAAGCCATTATGTGAGTGCTGGGAACCAAATCCAGGTCCTTTGCAAGAACAGCATGTGTTCTTAACTGCTGAGTTGTCTCTCCAGGCTTAATTTTTCTTAATTAAAAAAATATTTATCAATCTTTTGAGAACTTCATACAATGTATTTTGATTATATTCCTCTCCTCCACCAGCTCTTCCCAGGTCTACCCCTTCCTCCCTACCTACCTAACATTGTGTCGACCCCCCCGCCCAAAGGAGTCCAGTTTGTGTTGCCCAAATACTCTTGGTTATGGAACTGGGCACATATGTGCCATACTGTGCATGTGGAAGTCAGAACAACTTGTGGGGAGTCAGTTTTCTCCTTTCACCATGTAGATACTGGAAATTCATGAGGCTTCATGGCAAGTGCCTTTACTCACTGAGCCATCTCACCAGCCCTATTTTATGTCTTAAAGTGCTGGGGATCAAGCTAAGGGCCTCATACGTGCTAGACAGCTGCTCTGCCACTGAGCCATACCTCCAGCTACTCTTCCTGTTTCTTTCTTTCTTTTTTTTTTTTTTTTTTTTTTTTTTTTTAAAAAAAAAAAAAAAAAAAAAAAAAGAGGACGATAAATCTTTCACTGTGATATATCAAAATAA